GAAAAAACCAGGACACCGTCAATCGACACGTAGTTGCTTGCGATAGAGTATTGATGCGATATTGTAGACACGCAGACACCAGGCCAAGAAAAGGAAGAACGAAGGTTTGGTAGAATAATTTGAGCAGTCAAGTAGAAAGACAAGGAACATAAACCGGGAAAACGCGTGGTAAACCAGCTCCCGAGTTCTCTCTATTTTCTCTTTCTTTTTTTTTTACTTTCTTTTTTGATTTTCTTTATGCCCTCTTCGTTTCGTTTGCAACCAGAATGAAGAGGAGTGGGCGATATCTGCACTGCAGAATTACCTTTTCGAGTTCTCCTCTTCTTCCCAGATATTCCCTACCCAATTGGGTAACTCGACGGAAAGAAGGTATGTTGCGACTCGAAGGAACGGTGATCGGGAAGACCGACAAACGCGGGCGGGAAGGGGGGATGATGGCGTTCAGCCTCGGAGGCGCGATCGAACCAACCACTAATTACCAAGCCGCGCCTGTGATGGGTTTGAAAGCCGAGGAATATCAGGCGCACACGCTCAACACTGGCGAGAGAATTGACAGGATGGAGATATCGCTGCGACGAGGATCATGATCGACGAGAGAGGAAGTTGCAGCGCGACGATAACGGGCTGACGAGGCAGTGTGGTGAGCTGACAGGGGGCGACCGGCAGAGTCTCTCAAGGAAAGGTAGGAAGTCTCTGACAACGGTCGGAGACGAGACCTCGATAGAGGGTAAAAAGAGAAAACAAGCAAGAAACAGAAAACAAAGAAATGAGAACTAATGGAGATGAAACAGGAAGGAAAATGCAAAAATTGAAACGAAGAAAGTAACACGGTGTGAGGGGGAATTGAAGAAACGGGAAGAGGAGGAGATTGAGATGCTTAGACAGGAGAGGTAGCCATAGGTTCTCCCGAAGCTCAAAGTGGTTAAACACTGCTGGACTGGAATTGGGTACACGCTAGGTTAGGTACAATAATAATGCCAACGCAACCCAGCTTGGGCATAATGAGGAATTAATCCGTCCTTGAGTACGAGGATGGAACTTAAGGATGCATACATCTAGCCTCTTCAGTGAACCCTGACCTCTGAAGGTTTATGGTTGCTATAGTTATGGCGCTTCAAGCGACCTTATTGACAAGGATGTGGTTAATTATCGTTACGCAGAGGTGAGGGGGACAATATCAACTCGAGAGTAGATTTCATAGTTCAGATCTCGGAATCATGCAGAGGAAATCTAGAACAGCCAGCGCCTGAGCATTCCTGGCTGGCTGTCATAGAAAAGAAAGAAAAGTTCCGTCAATGTTTTGACAGGATCACTGAGTACGAAGAAGGAACTTAATCAAGCCATAGATAGCATCACAGCTGTATCTAACATTTGATATAAACAAACGGACTCAGTTGGAATCAATATTGAATCAAATAATCTACGGCAGCCTTGAGATCGGTTAATTACTGAAAAAGCACACCCAAAGCATCAATCAAGGACGCTTTGAAGTCCAACGTGTATCTACCATGACCCCCTTACATACCGTAGAAGCAACTGTGGAGAGACGACGGAAGTCAATTAGCCACATCAGAAGCTCCACTTTGGGATTCAAAGGTGCCTACTCACTCTGTGTGTAGATTGTCATATCCCCATTTCAAACTACAGTTGATATTTAACCGTACTAACATTGTTGACTGATATATATCGAAAAGTCATTCTAATAACAAATAAAACCATAGACATAACATGAAGCTTAGGTACCTTAACTACCTTATGTCGCCCATTATTATTGCAGCGCACCAATAATAACCCCCTCAAAATCAGGGGCACGCCCAACGAAGCCAATGTTTCGAATCCTCGGAACAGTGACATCCACTAAACCGCACTGGGTAAGGTCTCTGGGGATGGCCGATCGTCATCTGAAATTGTTCTGCAATCTGCACTCCTCTGCAGCCACGGCGATTCGCCGTTCTTTCAATCAAAATGCACAATCAATGTCTATGGGTTCTATCTTTAACTAACCACAGTGCGTCTCTAAATAATTGATTTATGTCCTAGATAGATCACAGCAGCATTCCCAGATCTATAAAGATCAATCTAATGTTATTCCGGACCAATGACATGAGCCTCAAATCTTGGTTAAGTTTACCCGCTCACCTCAGCACCTGAGCGTCCAGACCCAGGGTAACTATCTCCACCTCCTGGTATCCGACCGCATCTCATCCTTGGAAATTGATATTGGGTACCCAGGGATAAGGCCGGGATTTTGCAACTACTCAAGAGGATAATCGGCCTCCCTAGCTGATATCCTTTCTAGCAATTATCTTTCTAAGAAGTATTTAATAACTTTTATCCCTTGGATCGTCTGCCTTGAAATTTAAGGTTGTCTGCCTTGGTCGGCTATCATTACTGGGATACTCGCATATCAATGTGCCTTGCGTACCCCCATGCTTTTTCCTCGACCTCTCATACTGACTGAGGAAGACAGAACCGGTCCTTGCACGGTGATATCCAACATTCTAATTCAATCAGTATGCTATTGCTGACAAGTATTGAGAAACCATGCAGACCGATTAATCTCGGTCCATAAAAGTTCTATCATAAGAGTCGTAGCCTAAATTGGCAAACCTAGATACAAACCCTTGTACGTACCAAACAAATATATGCCATCTGCCAATCATCCAGTGGTCGGAAAGAAGGTATACAAAATCAGACGAAGAAGAAGAAAATGCACGCTTCAAACAACTTCTAGCGCTTCCCTCCTGACATAGCCGTTCCGCCTAACGAAACGGTACCCGCAGCCCCATACGCGGGAGGTGGTGTAGGGCTGCGAGACGGGCGTCGTGCGACGGGGTCTCGCCCGCCAAGCATAGAATGGCTGGGGCCACCTACACTGGGAGGCACCTCGCCTCCATCACCCGTACCAACGACGACTTGTTTACCATCGCGCATGCGACCGACGACCATTCCCTTCGCAACGGATTTGAGAACAGCCTTGCGGCTCACACCGGACGCGTCAATGTACACCAGGCCGACGTTCTTGATACCGCCAGTCACATTGCTCGCCACGGCACCTGCTTCCGCTCCATAGCGATGTGCAATCATTGTGCTGGCCGCCACAGAGCCAGATGTCAGCACATTGCGCGCACCCTGCTCGATACCATCCGCCAGAGTTGTGAAGGCGATCAAGGACTTGTTCAAGATCCCCGGCTTGTAATCACTGTCCTTTCCATACTTGTCGATACTTCTCTGTTTTCCCTCTCGCCCTGTCAGAGAAGCACCGAGATTCTGTGCCACTTTACCAACTTGGCCCACGGTTTTGGCGGAGAGATCTGCCGCGCCATGAGAGAGGCTGCCAATCTTTCGGAATCGTGCGTGGGTGGTCTCAGAAAACGTCATTGGCTTGGGATTGGGTTTTGTCTTCTTGGCGAAGCTTTCGGCTCCACTGGTTAGGACGTTGGAAATATAGGAAGATCCTGTCACGATCAAGCGAGATGCCATGGCAGACTTCTGGACAATCGTCGAGTTCTTATATGCTGGATGACGAGCCATCTGCAAGTATTCTTCGGACACATTACCGACGCTGATTTGGTTTCCCTCACCCTCGGCAGGGAGCTGGATTTCCACGGGTCCTATTAGTCCACTCATTAGCAAAGATGTCAGCCAGTGGCCCGGAGCAGGGACGCTTACTCTTGGAGCCTGGCTTCACACCAGGTTTCTCCACTACTTCGTATCCTTCCATCTCACCAACAACACTGCCATTCTCCTCGTCAACCAAAACAATCTTTCCATGTGCGTCGCTAGAGGTAGCTTGGCCGGAGGAGACGTAGCCTTCCCCGGGAGCATAGCTGGCCGGGTTGTAAGGAGCGTGCTCCTTCGGTGGAGGCGCTCGCTCGAGGAATGCGGTACATTGTGCCAAAATTGTTTCGAAGGTGTCGATATCTTCCTGTGTCACCTTATCGGGCCCGGTCCCAATTCCCGGGAATTGGATGCGAATGAAGGCACCCGCATCAGGTCCCAGATCCCAACGAGGAATCAGATAGCTATTCGGGGGTTGGTGGTAGATCTGCGTTGTTGCAGGAAGTGCAAGGTCCAACTCAGGTGGGAGGTGTAAGTGAAGATAAAAGTCCTCCTCTACTGACCCGTCTGTGCCTCCAGTCTGAGAAGTCGAAGCGCTAGTGGGAACCATCAGTAGAGAGAGTGTCTGCGGTCCGGATGGAGTGAGCTCCGTTTCTTCGCCATTCTGGATGTGGAAGGCAAGAATGTTATTGATGCTGTAGAGGAGTCTGGGATCATGGATGGATGACATTGTGATGAAATGTGTCTCTGCCACTCGTCTGTGGCTCGTATGCGGGGAGCGATGACGTCGATGTTCCAGCTGCAAGGTCAAAGGCACGAGTCAACAACACTCAAAGAACAACGAACGGGCTTGAAAAAAGGATCAGAGAAGGAAAGAGCTGAAGTAAAGTGGGACAGACGGAAAAGAAGAAAAGGAGAAGGGTAAGGGGGTATAGCTTGATAAATGGCAAAGTCTTGGTGTCCTGAGCGGGGTGTTTCTTATTATTCTTAGGACTATTTAAATAGACTGGCGTGCCGCCAACTGCGTCAGGGCAGTCTTGGCACTGCTGCGCCACATGATATCAGCGATGTTGGACTGCCACGGTCTGTGCTTGAGCCAACCATAATCCATGTGGCGGTGCCCTCTGTGTCGGCATTACTTGTAAAGTTGTCATCAGGTAGTACTTTGTCCGATCCCTTTTTTTCGACCTGATTCCAAAATCGAAAATGCGTAGATAAGAATCCGTAGCACTAATACGTGTTCAAACCCTAGCAAAGCCTGACTGGTTGAAGGAGAAGCCGGAGATTTGAACGGCGCTTCCCCACAAATTACTCCGTAGTCCACGAACGTCTATGTTGCCAGCGGCTGCAGATGGAACAGGTGCTGGAGACCTAGAATTCGATTTCTAAATCTGGCATTCCCCAAGGGTAACCGCTTACTACGCGCCCAGGTCCTATAAATGCATCAACCTATGGCTTCTTTTCAATTGGTATCCGACATCCATCTGGAAGCTCCCCGCGCATACGACCTATTCAACATCCCTTCGAAAGCGCCCTATCTGGCCCTTCTAGGCGACATCGGCTATGTCAGCGACAATGGCTTTTTCGCCTTTCTTGAAGGCCAGCTTCGAAAATTCCAAGTGGTTTTCTTAGTATTAGGAAACCATGAGCCCTGGAATTCCACTTGGGCGACGACGAAGGACAGGCTGAAACGTTTCTCTGATAGTGTTCGCCAGAGAAAGGCTTCGGGAGAAAGTACAAATGCCGAAAAGAAACTCGGAGAGTTTGTCTTCATGGATCAAACACGCTACGATATCTGCCCAGACGTCACAGTACTAGGGTGCACGCTTCACTCCAGAATCACACAGAGCCAGGAAGAGCGCGTCTCCCTGTCACTCAACGACTTCTACCAGATCAAGAACTGGGATGTAGAGAGCCACCGTGCCGCACACGAGGCTGATCTCGCCTGGCTCAACAACCAAGTCACCTACCTCGCCCAATCGGATCCGCATCGCAAGATCATTATCTTCACTCACCACTGTCCCACACTTGACGCTCGCGCAACTGATCCTGCGCATGTGAACAGTCCCATTACGTCGGCTTTCGCGACAGATCTCACTGGAGAGCCGTGCTGGGAGAAACCCCAGGTGCTCTTATGGGCGTTTGGACACACGCATTATAATTGTGATTTTGTCGACAGTAGAACTGGGAAACGCGTTGTGGCGAATCAAAGAGGCTATTATTTTGCGCAGTCAGAAGGTTATGATCCGGAACTGGTGGTTCGCGTATAGTTGCGGCCGTACTGCGCGATCTGGTGTAGAGAATTAGATTTCGTAAAGGGGCGCAACATTATCAACAGGGGAAATTTTCGATCTTTAAAGTTTTCTTTGACGCATGAACAGACAAGGGTACTAGAGAATATTTCATTTATTAAGATGGCCAATCTCGGGTTCTATAGCGAATGATCGGTCCAGTAAGGGTGCCTTTGGACAGCCGCGGTTAACCGAGGCATAATCGAGCTCTCTTCCCCGTGATTTCGCTCTCGCCCTCTCCCCACATTGTACTCGGACTTTCTCTTCCTCTTCTACATCTCTTTTCCCCTCTTTTACATCTTCACAGGTTCGGGATTATCCTCCTTCGGTTCTAAAGATTTACCATTTGACAAACTCAGCCATGGCAGCTATCGCCCGTGCTCTGCGGCCCTTGTCCCGCACCGCTCCCTCCTTCCGCCTCGCAGCCAGACGGCCATTGGCATACCGACTGGCACAAGGGTACGTTCTACTTTTTTTAATCAATTATTCCACATGCGAGGCTACATTGGTTTAGTCAAGATGTTCACATGTACTGACTTCCCAATCTACAGCACCCATGCTTTCTCTACCACGTCCCGCCGGCGGGACGTCGATATCTCCAGCCTGACCCCAACTCCAATCACCCACCTCTCCGAAACCGAGTCGCTGATGGCCGAAACCGTCTCCAAGTTCGCCCAGGAGCAGATCGGACCCAAAGTACGGGAAATGGACGAGTCTGAAGTCATGGACCCCGCACTGGTCGAGCAGCTGTTCGAGCAAGGGCTGATGGGCATCGAGATCCCCGAGGAGTACGGCGGAGCTGGCATGAACTTCACGTCCGCCATCGTAGCCATCGAGGAGCTGGCGCGCGTCGACCCCAGCGTTAGTGTGCTGGTGGATGTGCACAACACCCTCGTCAACACGGCCTTTAACAATTGGGCCGACGCCGCGCTCAAGAAGACGTGGCTGCCTAAGCTTGCTACGGGGACCGTCGGTTCATTCTGTCTCTCTGAGCCGGCGTCCGGATCCGATGCCTTCGCGCTGCAGACGAAGGCGGAAAAGACGGCGGATGGTTACAAGCTCAATGGATCCAAGATGTGGATCACCAACTCCATGGAGGCTGGTGTGTTCATCGTCTTTGCGAACCTGGATCCCAGCAAGGGTTACAAGGGCATCACGGCCTTTGTGGTCGAGAAGGATACCCCGGGATTCTCCATTGCCAAGAAGGAGAAGAAGCTGGGGATCCGGGCTAGCAGCACCTGCGTGCTCAACTTTGATGATGTCGTCATTCCCAAGGGTAACCTGCTCGGAGAGGAAGGCCAGGGTTACAAGTACGCCATTGGCCTGCTGAACGAGGGTCGTATCGGTATTGCTGCTCAGATGACCGGTCTGGCATTGGGTGCTTGGGAAAACGCCGCCAGGTAAGATCACGCTTTCCCATCGAGCAAGAGACTCGTTTTCTACCCCAACCTACCACTCACATCGTTGACAGCTACGTCTGGAATGACCGTCGCCAATTCGGTCAGCTTATCGGAACTTTCCAGGGTATGCAGCACCAGCTGGCCCAGGCTTACGTCGAAATTGCTGCCGCACGGGCCCTCCTCTACAATGCCGCACGCAAGAAGGAAGCCGGTCAAGACTTTGTTCAGGACGCCGCCATGGCCAAGTTGTACGCATCCCAGGTTGCGGGCCGTGTGGCCGGCTCCGCCGTTGAATGGATGGGCGGCATGGGCTTTGTCCGGGAAGGCATCGCCGAGAAAATGTTCCGTGACAGCAAGATCGGTGCCATCTACGAAGGCACAAGTAACATTCAGCTGCAGACAATTGCTAAGCTCCTGCAAAAGCAGTACACTAAATAGATCCGGAGCTGTTTCTTTTTGTCCTATGCTCCCCCTCCCGTTTCCGTTGCGTACATAGTCGGCGTAAGTGTGTTATAGGATGTTTGTTTTGAGCGCAATGATGGGGTTCGGCGATTCGACCCCGACGGCAGAACCACCCCAATGTCTCATTGGCAGCGCCTGCAAGTCTTATTTGTGGAAGGCTAACGACGATCATTTTGCATGTATGATATCAGCATTTCGGCTATAGATAGAAGTGAGAACATTTCTTTGCCTCGCTTCGGAACAGAATGAAGCTGTCATGGCTCGATGGTAGAGACTATTCCTTTTTCTTCGGCGCCGGAGCTGTGGGCGCATTTCGGTTTTGGAGAGCTCATCTCTTTGTCATGCCTTTACTGTCCCCACACATTGTCTTGGTTGTCGTTGGAGCGAACAGAGGTGAGAACCGGCTCGAACTTGCTGCTGAAAGCCCATCGCAATTGATTCCTCGGCGCCTTTTCACTGATGTGCATGCTTCAGCGGCGGATAAGGAGCATTGCCGGTGGTGGCTTTTTGCAAGTGAAGCGACCTCGACCTCGACTTCGACCAACGACGACATACCAAGTCCTCTGAGCATACGCGTCGAGCCTCTCTGGTCAAAGCGCTAGCTCAATCGGCATGCAACGAGTCTTCTTCGATGAGAGTAGTGAATCTCGTATTCCACGCCCAGACTAATGATAGAATTTCCCATGGATGTTCGGGTGCCAAATGGAAAATGCTTGGAATCCCGGGTGAGTGAGTTCAAGACTGATGTGGCCAGCCGTAGCTGTAGCCGTGGTTCCCTCTTGGCTGATTTCTCCCTGGCTGATTAACGGGATGAGGGTAGTGATGTGAGCCTTGAAGTACTGGATACGCCCCGGCTGCCCGATCTGGTGGGACATCCGGCATTGGCATAGGCGGTTGGCCGGGCACATATGGCAAGGCTTGCTGAGGATGACGTAGAAGCTGTTCTCCACGAGAACTTTCTGGTCCGCTGGCTCGAAAGTACTGCGGGTATTGTTGGAAAGTGGGATCCGGTGCGTGGGCGACGTTGGTGTTGAAATTGGCGTGCGGGATTGCGTTGGGTATCGTATGAGGAGGCTGGGCCTGCGCTTCGAACCCGTAAGATTCGGCCCTGTTGCTGTAATCCGCATCTGATGATTCGCATATAGATGAGGACCGTGTCGAGCCGTACGTCTGCCATTCCTGCGCGACAGAAATCTGGCTCGAGGCTGAGAGGACAGAGGGCGCTCTTGACACCGGAGGTACGTTCAGGGACTCCGAGTAATGACTTGGAGGCGTGGCTCCCGCTGGGCTGGTGTATGATCCGTCTGCGAGGTCGAACTGAGACTTTAGCAATCAATCCAGCCGCCAACTTGTGCTCAAGGGGGCATGGGAAACGCTTCCCAGTCACATACCGGCACCGCTATAGCTTTGGTTACCAGTGAGCATAGCCAGTTGCTGCCTCAAGCCCTTAATCTCATGCTCCAGGGCAGCATTCCGTCGCATCACGTCATCGAATTGCTGATTCTTGGCTTGAAGCTCAGCAACTTGGTTTTGCAGTCGCTCGATGTGTTCTTTCGTCCGCTGACGAATAGTTCTTTGTGCCTCTCGGTCGTTGGCGCGCTTTCGCGCCAGCTGTTCAGCGGACAGAGTTGTCACTTTACGAGTTCCCGCGCGGGATTCTCGCTTCTTTGTCGCCGGTTGCGTGGTGTCTTGGTTAGAGCTCATCGTGATGTCCTGACGCTTGCGGCTTACAACGAGTTGTTTTCTACCAGTTTTGATCTGACCCGTCGTCAGGGAAGTGCTCGTCGTGATTGCGCATGCATTGACCAGCGATATCAATACTATCATACAGGATTGCGCACAGGCCGCGGAGAATCAGAAGTTGGCAGTTGAGGTCTCGATATGTGACTTTGGTCGTTCCATGTGCGTGGGTCGCGGTAAATTTCCGAGTTCACGGCACTAGTCTAAAGGTCACTGACGGATAATACTGACCATTAGATAGATGATGAAAAAGATGCCAGGGTGACGGATCAGAAGCCTTTGTGGCGCCCGAAGAAACGTCCCTGGTTGAACCACTCGTCTGATGTGAAACGCCCGGACCACAACTAAAAGAGCCCCCAGGTCCGGCATCTTTATATATGCTCGGAGTTAGGAGCATCCGGCCCTAAAAAGTACCCAAGGTGGACTCGTTCTCTGCGCCGTCAGCACAAGTGCGACAGTCGATATCTGCCAAGTTCGTAAATGGGAGATAGGGTCGCCAGGTTACCGACCGTCCCCTCGAGCAGTTAGGCCGCCAATGAAACAGATTGCAAGGACGAAACAACCTGTGGGATTGACAAGAAGAGGGATAGCGCCTTTCTCCAAGAGGCTACTTTGATGGCCTATGGGTCGGCGCCATTGCACTTTCCGATCTTCCCGACTACGAGTATGTTCCACGTCTGATTCGCATCAAAAGGACGGATGATTGGTAATTAGCAACCCCCTCACAGATATTTCCGTTTGCTGAAATGCATCAGTGGTATTGCAGTGGACTTCACCAAGCATATGCGCATGACTGTCAATTTGGAGACGAGAAGGGAATAATTCTTGATCGCGACTGCTACCTACCCCAACTGGCTATGGAGTGCTTCCCAGCCAATAGTAATGCAAAGTGGCACTCAGAATAGACAGCAAGCGCTCATTGCATTATCTAATTCTTACACCGTCTGCCTGACCTATGGAGTAGATAATTAAATGGATTAGTTAGTGGGTCCTTGGAGAATCATGGCCACATGGTGAGCCAGAGACCGGCTGGAGGAGCATTAGAAATTAGGCCAACCCCAGGCACATCGCCGAGAAACTCCAGCGCTAAGTGGTCCCAAGTCCGAACTTTGTTGACGACTACTGAAACAATTGCATCAATAATGCACTGGGGGCAGTGGTTGCGCATCAGTGGTCACAAGTCAACTTATAACAGGGACTCATACTACGCGAAAGAAAGGGAAAAGAGAGAAAGAAATTCATACCAAATACATGAGCAAAGGATGTGTGCGCTTCTCAGTCTTTTGGAAAACTTGAAGCGAAACACGCACTAGTCCTTGGTATAGGAACGTTCGTCGCAGCGGTCCTCTAGTAGTTGGATTCAGGGACGTATGGTTA